GAACCGCAGGGCTGTGCTTTGCAAACATTGGCCACAAGAAAAGCCCTGGGGGAGCAGAGCCCGGCGAGTTTGTGGAGCTGCTCCCACAAACACCAGCTGGGATTGTTTCAGAAAGGAGGAAGGGGAAGCAGCTTGATGGGCCACGGAGTCCTAGAGCCTGCTAAAATGCAGGTGACATGTCATCCCGGCTCTGTGTTAATGGAGCAAGGAGGTCGCCTGCTCCCTGCTTCTGTCTTGGGTCTCCTGAGACTGGAGGTGGCAACAAGGCAGTAGGTGCTGCGAGGGGGAGAAAATCCCTCCTGGAGAGGGAAGAGGCTCACAGGTATCCAGGGAAGGTGAGTGGTTCCCGGAGGGGATGGCAGGCACGGGAAGGCAGCAGGATGTCATGAGGAAGCTGCTGAGTTTGCAGGCTCCGGGGAAACTGGAGCAGCTCCAGCATTCCCGAGGCACAGGCTCTTGGCAGGACCTGCAGACCCAACACCCGGCGGGAACCGGGCGGGAAGAAAACGCCCCCGAAGCAAAATCCAGCAGGATGTGGCAGGAGCCTCAGGAGCAAGGGAGGAGCCCTCGGGAGCAGGGCAGGAGCTGCCGCGCCGGGGGGTGGGAGGCGAAGTGGAAAGCGAGCACGTACCTGAGCACAGAGCGGAGGTGCCGGGCTCTCCTGCCAGACCCGCATGGAGAGCAAACCCCCTCCCCTCCCTGCAGGGCATGGATCCGGCGCAGGGCTGGGAATTGGCTTAGGGACCTGCCGCGGCTCAGCGCGCTGAGCTCCGCGTTCATCTCAGCCCGGCTTTCCCTTTTATCCCCTGCTACAACCTCTCTCTGTGTATATATATCTATCTTATTATTTATTTATTTATTTTTTCAATTAGATCCACCTTTCAGGCTCCGAAGAGCATTTCTAGGAAGGGCTGAGCTGCCTCCCATGGCCCCGCGGGCTGATGCTGCCCAGCCCGGGCCATCCCTGCCACGGCTCCTGCTCACATCCCGCCGAGGAGCAGCTCAGGGACTTCCCAGCCCACTTACCGGGGGGGTTTAAGAGCAGCTTTTCCTGCCTCCCTCATCCCAGCGGATCTCAAAGCTTCCACCTCCCTTGCGGTGCCGCTAAGGAACTTTTTCCCTCTCCGGATCTGCCTCAGGGTGAGGGGTGGGTGAAAATCTGGTCTAAAAGCGACAGTAAAAAAAAAATAATAAAGGAAGAAAATCGATGGAGGCCTCGGCGGATCCTTGGGCACGGCTGGATCGCTCCGGCCGGTTGCAGGGCAGGGGTAAAACAGGAGTTTGCAGCAGGAAAGTGGGATGCGGCGAGATGTTTGAGCTGGGAGTGACTGGAGCACGGGCAGGATGGGAAGGAAGCAGCTCCCCCAGGTGGGGCTGCCCCATCTGGACCCCTACAGCTCCCCCCGGCCATGGGGGGGCAGCCCAGCTCGGCTCCAGGAGGGGAATTGAAACAACCAGCTAGAAGCTCAGCTCCCAAGCCACGGAGCCCATTTCCCCCCGAGGCCACTTTCCCAGCTGCAGGCAGCCCCGAGCCCAGCCCGCTGCCAGCCTCCTCCATCAGCACCTGCCTGCTCTTCCCCCTCGGCAATGCCCTCCCTCCTCCTCCTCCTCCTCCCCGCCAGCCCCAGGCGTTCCACAAAGAGCAGCAGCAGCAAAGTGACTGCAGCGATTGGGCCTCCAGCCAAGGAGCAAAGGGACCCGGCTTTGCTTCCTGCATCTGTCACTGTCACCTCTCCTCGGCGTGCATCTCTGCTGCTTAGATATGAAGATCTTGAGGGCAGAGGGGTCACCTCTGAGGATGCTTCTCTGCAGAGCCAGGGCTGGGCTCTCCACATCTGCTCCCAGCTCCCAGTTGTGTTGGGTGAAGAGGTCGGGGCTCCTGTGCCAGCTGAACTGCTGGTCTGCTTCCCACACCCACCTCAGCTCTGAGCTGGAACAGGGAAAGGGGTCGGTCTGTCCTCTCTGCACACTGCCGGGGGCTGGGGAATGTCCCACCAGCAGATGGGAGGGAAGTAGGGGGAAAAGCTCCAGCAGCAACCCTGCTTCACTGGCTGAGTGAGGAAAACAAACCCCAAAGCCCTCATACACAGACCGAGCAACCAGCTCAGAGGGAACATGGCACAAGCCTGGAGGAGCAGAGACCATTCCTGATGTGTATCCAGTCCCAACCTGCCACTGATTCTCCAGGAAATGGGAAGGCAGCCTCACTTCTGGGTGAAAATCATGCCTGTGCCCCCTCCTTGAACTCTCTGCTGCCTTCTGGGTTTCTCAAGTTGGATCTCTAGGTGGAGTTTTCAACCTAGATATGTCAGCTGGTGGCACAGCTGGGGACTGGCTGCCCAGCTCTCAGGTCACTCTGATCCCAAATTTACAACCAAATGAGTGCCTGAACAGCAACCCGTGCTCAAGGCCCTTCCCTCTCCCCCTGGTGACTGAAGGATTCATGGTGAGCACTCAGATGGATCCAGCAAAGAGCAGAGAATGTCCTCTAGCTCAGAAACCCAAGCATGTTGATGTTCTCAGATACTTGCAGGGTCTGTTTCTCACTGCTCTGAAATATGAGGGTTGGGAGTGGAAAAAAAAAAAGAATCCCACATGGGAATAATTTTGCATTTCCAAGTACTTGAGGTCCTATGGATGAGGTAAAGAGCTGGGAGTGAAAAAGTCTGGGCAGGAAAAGGACAAATCTCCAAATCTTGGTGAAAAGGGAAAAAAAATACGGAATGAATCCTCCATGTCATTAACTGCTAACAACACAAAGCAGAGCAGGACACCCACTCCAGTGCCATCTTCCCAGCTATCACCTAGATTCCAGCCATGGAAATACAGATGCCCTGCCTGAGATTTCTTCCCCAGAAGTTTTAAAAGGAGTTACCTCGAGTTCTTGGGATGAATCCAGCTGATCTGCC